AGAATTTGAAAACTGCAATTGGTCCAGAATGCTGCGGTGCATACAGTTTTGGAATCTCCCTAGGGTAGCGCATGTAACATCACTGTTATATGAGTTGCAATGGCTGCCAATCTGCTTCCAAGTGCAATTCAAGGTGCTGGTTATCACCTTTTAAGCCCTCTACAGCATAGGCCCAATATATCTGCAGAAGAAGAACCATCTTTCCCCAATGGGATTGGCCTATTCCATTCGTGCTGGCAGAAGGGGCCAACTGAGGATCCCATTAGCCAAGGAATTTTGGTTGGTGGGATCCAAGAGAAGAGCCTTTTCTGCTATGCTCCTGCCCTTGGAATATCTTGTCCCGGGAGATGAAATCCACCCCCTCTTAGCCTTCAGGAAATGCCTTAGAACTTGGCTATGCTGGTTTGCATGGAGTCCTGAAGCAGATGTTGTTGGCTGGAGGTGGTTGTGCAGCAACAGAGAAAGCACCATATGTCTGTTCCAAACTCTATAGTTTGATTTTTTTTATAATTTATAGTTTGAATTTTTTTTATAATTTTAATGTTTTTATACATTTTGTCATCCTCAAGAAATGTTCTACCAAAGTACACAAATTCATCTATTTGTTCTAATCAGTTCCTCAAGGAGAGAGATTCCAGAAAAGAGCAAGAGATGTACATGGGTAATGCTAGTTCTTTCTGGCCAACTCTTCCTCCCCCACCTCCTCTTCTATCTGTTGGATGACAAACTTTGGGAAGCTCCCCAAATTTGTATTATTTTATACAAAATACTTTGATACCTGTGAGCCAATCCATGCTACTATAACTGTAAACTTTAACTGTGTGAAATGGTGCATAATACGGCAAAACATTTTGTACCTCAATTGAGTACTAAATGCATCCAAACTCCAAGGCAAATGGCTCCAATGGAATTGAAATTTGGCAAATTTTATACATTTTATGAATAAAATTATCATAAAGCATTTTATGACAAAATACAAAATGTCATAAAACATTTCCTGTAGTCAGCTCCTGTTGTTTGACAATGCTATACAGTTCAACATACAAGTGAACGTATTTTCAAGACAGATACATATCTGAATATCTCCCTCAATTTTTCTTCCTAATGCAGTGAAAGCAATGCATTAGTAACTCTGCTATTGTTGAAGACACTGAGGAATCTGATAAGAAATGATGACCCAAGAAGTCACAGGTTGTCTGGTCAATTATAAATGTAGGATGCAAAACAGAGGATGCAATTATAATAAACATTTACTACAGCAAACAAACTTCCAAAAATTACAAGATTCCCCCATGGACTGTCAAGCAAGATTTCTCACTTGATCACAACATACAGAAAGTCCTCAACTTATGACCTCAACTGGGCCCAAAATTTATGTTGCTAAGCAAGGCAGTTGTTACTTGAGCTTCCCTATTTTATGACTTTTTTGCACTCTTGTAAAGTAGATCACTGCAGTCATTAAGTGAATCTAGCTTTCCCCCATTGACTTGACTTGTCTTAAGTTGGTTGGGAAGGTTACAAATGGTAATCACATAACCCTAGGACAGTGTAACTGTCATAAATACGTGCCAAATGCCTGAATGTGACCATAGGAATGCTGCAACAATCCTGTGAAAACAGATAAACCTCCAAGTGTTTCAATGACCCTCTAAAAGGATGCAAATGACCAGCTGTCTGCAAGCAATAGAAATCCTCCCATTCCTAGCTATCCTGTCAGAGCTGAAGAAGCGTCTTGGATGAGAAGCAAAATGTCTTCAAAGAAAAAACAAGAAAGTCCAATTGCCTCCCGAAAAAAGCACGTTTGGGATAACCATGGCCTGTCCTGGATGAATGAGGATCTCTACAGAATCCTGTGGAAACCAACCATGTCACCCTTTTTTCAGCACCACTGTAACTTCTAACAGTCACTAAATGAATGGTGGTGTACATTCTTACAGAAGAGATTAGTATTGGAAACTGAAAAGAGAACACTTGGAGGCATCAGGATAATTTGGAAGCAGCAGATCTTTCACAAATCAACTGCTAAATATCAAGCATGCACACTTGGATTATTTCTTTTTAAGCATCTTCACTTCCTTAAGCATTCCTGACCTGGAACCACAAAACCGCTCCCCAAAAATGCCTGCCTGCCATGCAACGCTGCACAGCCATCCTATATACCCGTCTCCTCCCCTTGGGATCCTTCTCCAAGCGCGTTGAGCTACAGCTCCCACCAACAGATGACGGGGGCTGTCGATACTTCAACATTTAACACATCTGGAAGGCAGAAGATCAATCGGGGCTCATTTTGTCGCGGTCCCGAAGCAGGGAGGACACCGCTCAGACAAGGGACAGAAAAGGTAGCTTCACCTCCCTCGCCCCTTTTCCCAGGAAAGGTTGAGGCGTGGCGGACGAGCCAGGAAGGAAAGAACCAGGGATCCGATCCGTGGATCCGGCACGGGTAGAGGGAAATGGAAAGAGACACTCACCTGTTCCTGATCCATGGCGTATGCGGCGGCGGCGGCGGCGACTGGGGCGCAGTATAAGGAAAGAGCAGAGAGCCCCTGCTCCATAGTCCCCCCCTCCCGTTTCCGACTGAGAGATCTTCCCCGCGACGATCGCGCCAGGCAGGCCAAGCCCTCCTCCGGGGCGGAGGCCCTGGGAAATGAGCTCACAGAGGCCGTTGCCTCCCCCAGCCTGCCCCACACTCCCTCCGGTCACACCCCCATCTTGGTGGTTGCTAGGATACCTCGTAGAACTCTCTCTCTCTCTCTCTCTCTCTCAGGTGCTCTGGCGACAGGCGTCTGTCGGGCCAGAGGAGGTGGGCCCGCGCCGCTTGCTGACCGAGGGTGAAATCCGGACCTTCGTTCGGTGAAAGCACGACGAGACACGTGACTGCCCCCCCCACCCCCGAATGTCGTACTGTAGCTATAAACCAGCTTCAGAAACTTTTCCGACGTGCACCAAGACACGGTGCAAATATCTCGACATCTTTTCCCTCCCCCTCCCCTTCATTTAAGGCATTGAGAGTTGTTAACCTAATCCTACCTAGCTTTTACTCAGGTAATATCACACTACTAACTAGAGACATACAAAACATTTGCTAGACCAATACTCAAAATACAGCTCATCAGTCTGGAACCCACATTACTTATCTGATATTAGCACAGTTGAGAAAGTCCAGAAATATTTCACAAGAAGAGTTCTCCACTCCTCTACTCGTTGCAGAATACCTTATGCCACCAGACTTGAAATTCTAGACCTAGAAAACCTCGAATTACACTGTCTTCGGTCTGATCTAAGTATGGTGTATAAAATCATACATTGCAACGATTTACCTGTCAATGAATACTTCAGCTTCAACCATAACACAAGAGCACACAATAGACTCAAGGTTAATTGTACCAAACTTGATTGCAGGAAATAAGACCAGCAACAGAATGGTCAATGTCTGGAATACTCTACCTGACTCTGTGGTTTCTTCCCCAAACCCCAAAAACTTTAACCTTAGACTGTCTACTATTGACCTTCTTCTACCTGACTGTCTACTAATAGCCCTTTCCTAAGGTCTGCAGGGGGTGTGCATAAGCGCACCAACGTGCCTACTATCCCTGTCCTACTGTTTCTTTTTCTTATATGTATCCATTTCATGTATTCATAACTATGTACCTATTATCTTGTGATTGACAAATAAAAATAAATAAAATAAAAAGGTTGCCGTCATCTTTCATCAGCCCGCCGCACTTGAGATGGCTTCAACAAATTTTAAAGAGTGCCAAGCATGACCGCTTCAAGGCTAGTAATGGTCTTAAAGCAAACCCTAAGAAGTGAAATTGCCATTTCCTATTGGCCATTTTAAGTTACTGTGGACACTCCTGGATGCTGTCCTCACTTCTGCAATGGAAGAGTCCACATTTTTTTGAACTCCAGATCTTCTCTGGCATAGATACTAATAACCAGAATTTGTATCTTTCAACTGGCTGCTTGCCATGAAGCCATCAGATGTCTAGACTAGAAGTGAGATGTTACCTAGTGTGGCTAATGAAATCTCTGCAAGTAAACAACCAAGCTCAGAGCGCACCAAGGACCCCTCATGTGTTACAGATTTGGATTTGAAAACCTCTGCTTAAAATTGCTGGATTAAACAATTCTTTCACTACGCAGCATCTCCCAACCTCACTTCTTTCTACTGATCTTTACCAGCTTGCAAAGAATATTTGAATATGTTGGATTTCTAGAAGCAAAATAATTAAAAGAATATTCTATGTTTTGTAATATAAAATCCAGTTGTTAAGGCATACATATTTCCATACTCAGACACAAACCTTTGGAAATGGGAAAACCAAATGGATACAAATGCAGGGCAGTCTGTACATTAACCACAATTTTGTTTCCCTTTAGAAAACGTGTGGGTACAATATCACATCCAGCCCATATTGAATAGAACAAAGTAGTATGCCTGTTAGCCACATGTGATAAGATGTAAACATACCAATTACATTGTTGGACTTTTGCAATTTGCTAAATCAAATCAATCAATACTATGAATTAGCATTTTGTTAATCCAGCTGGTATTGATTTTGAGGAAAGCCAAACAGCATTCTAAATTTATATCAAAGGATTTAGTCAAAGTTGTGTTCAAATGTTTTTGTTTTCTATATGGATGTGGTATTTTTATTGTGTGTGGATGTAAAGAAGAAAGAATTTGACATAAACACAGCTATCATAATTTACCCTGGAAGTTAAACCTGAAGGTATAATTTATCTGAATACCCCCTGCAACAAATTTATAAAAAGAACATTTGCTGGAGACATTGGCTCTTCCAAATTACCTGACAGCAAACTATCAGGAAATAAAACATCATTTTATTATTGCTACCCAAACTTACCTCAAAGGAGGTTAAAACTGGGAAGATTGAAATTCATTCTTGAAGCACATGGTCAACAATATATAAACACTTCCTTGCAACAGACTTATTTCTAAAATCTGTTGTAAGCACAAACATCAGCTCTTAAATTTACAACCAGGTAAGTTTATTTTACAATATATTTGTGACAAACTGGTATTGACCAAAGATCTGAATTGTTTTACAAATATAACAGTTGCCATTTGAAACAATTAAAAAGTTCCTCTAAATATTAAATTTATACATGATTTACTTTTAAACAGGTCCAAGAAAATATTAAAACTGAAACATTAATAAACTGAAGTCAAACTAGAACCACTTTCTAGACCTAAAGACTGGAAAGTCTCCAAATTGTATCATGCTCCATTAAAGTTCTTCACAGCAGAAAAGGAGCTCTCATTCTTTTTAGAAATACTCCAGCAAATAATGGTCAATCAAGTCAGTTTATTAAGGCCGCCTTTACATGTTATTGAATCCCATCATGCCTTTTATATTTCCAGCAGCACCTTGTTGAAACTGGCGCATCATTGACTGCAATCCTGCCATGCCACCTGTAATGAAATATTAAACTTAAATGTAGGCACCATTAAAATTTTGGACTAGCCTTTTATATTTTTTATGTTAACATTCATATAAAAATGGTAGCTTTTGTAAAGAACTAAAAAAACTAGGTCCATGCACCCCAAATTATTTTTCTACTGCTTCTTAAATATCAACCATTCATGTCACATTCAATATCTCAATTCAAAAACAATTGCAAAGAACATTTAGTGGAACAATGAAGTGCCCATGCAAACTAAAATGCATAAAGGTTTCTAGAGGTTTCAAGAGGTTGATAAACTCTTGTACATTTTTTGAATCCCAGATTGTGATACATAAAATGAAATAGGGGAAAAAAGAAACCACTTTAAAAAGTAGATATGGTACATATTAAGAAAATAGAGAAAAATAAATGAAACCATAACTGTTCGGGGGGGGGTTGTTTGTATCTAGCTCTCAAATAATCTAGTTGTTATAAGATCTCAAAGTAATGCATAATGTCAAGGCAATCTCAGTTTAATTTTCTGAAAAATATTTATTTATTTATTTTCATTTCAGCATACTAAAATGTACTGCACCATAAATATAATTTTGTCATAGCAAAATGGCTGAGTTCAGTCTCCGAGACATACAGATGGTAGTCTTTAAATGTTTTATTAAACTATTAGGAAGCAGTACCTTTCCAATCCACTCTTGCAGCAAGAAAATAAAAAATATAATTTACCCATATGATGAAGAACTCTAGGATCCATCATCTTTGCCATCTGTTGGTTCAGTTTTGCCATCTGGGATGGATTTACATTCTTTGACATATCACCTCCTTAAAACAAAGAAAAAGTAGAGAGGAGAGAAGAGAAAAAGAACAGTAATGAAGTATTTCAAATAGCCCAAAGCACACACCCTGCTAGGGAGAAGTTTTCTGAAAAGGAGCTCCAGCACAACGTTGAAAGCTCGGATGATTAAACCTCTGATCATGGTGACCAACCCAGACTGGATCCTACAATATTATCCTGGGACATGTATACAGTATTCGCCTTTATTAATATGTTAAATTAATGAAAATTCTCTTAAGCCTCTTCCAATTGATATCTGGCAGCGAAGCATTTTAAATATTCTGTAGGATTAAAATCAGGCTCACGGTCTGAGTGACTGCTAGAGATAGCAGTTCACACAAGCGATGTAAACAAATATTGCAGCATTTCACATGTTTAATGTCAATAATGATAGTTTTCTGCAGAAATGTCATAAATGTATGAAAATACTTTTCTTTCTGCAACAAATTCGGGCAGATTAGCTGTCTTTGTTATTTCTAGAACTAACTCTACATTTCCACTAAATATGTTAAGAGCTTTTCAAAAGATAACTTATACGTACCAAATTTTAATATAGTTACAAATTATAAATTAATTTCTAGAATTTATGGGCTACATCCATAAATGACTTATGTAGTAAGACTTCACATCTCTTTTTCCTTTCCATGTGCCTCTCGGTTAACCAATTTTTATTACGGTCACAGACCAGCATTACATGAATCTGCCCTGTGTAGGATACTTCAATCTTTGGGGGTAGATATGTGACAAGTCCTGAGGGACAGTAACAAAGAAGACATTTGTTCCACCACTAAATGCTGCTTTTCAGCAGATGGATAAGTTCTATGAGTCTAGTATTAAGCAACTGAGTCAATCCAGAATGCCCAATACAAGTAGTCCTCTACTTACAACCACAACCAAGCCTAAAATTTCTGTTGCTAAGCAAGACAGTTGTTAAATGAGTTTCATTCCATTGTATGACCTTTCTTGCCACATTGGTTCAATGAATCACTTCAGTTGTTAAGTTAGTAACATGGTTGTTAAGTGAATCTGGCTTCCCCATTGACTGCTGGTCAGAAGGTTGCAAAAGGTGATCACATGATCCTGGGACATTGCAACTGTTATAAATATGAACCAGTTGCTAAGCATCCAAATTTAGATCATGCGGCTGCAATGGTCATAAGTGTGAAAAACGGCCCCGTCACTTTTTCAGTGCTGTAACTTTGAACTCAACAAATGATTGTAAGTCAAGAACTATCTGTATATGCAGGTATAGTAGACATTCAAAATATGCATTGATTCTTACCTTTAAAAAGTCCTTTAATGCCTCCCATCTTTTTTACCATTTGTGCAAATTTTGTGTACTGCGTCAGGAGTTCTTGAACGTCTCTAGTTGAAACACCGGAACCTCTCGCTACTCTTTGGATTCTTCCTGGTTGCTTACTGAAAACTTTGGCTCCATCTGTACTATCTAGTTCTATAATTAAGAGAAGCCATGGATAATAGTGTTAAAAAGTCGAGATGTCAATTTACAAATTTTCTAAAAAATACAAAATTTACATATTTTCTAAAAAATATAAAATTTCTCTCAAAATTCTGTACCTGATTGGTACTGTTTTATACCTTATATAAGCTATAAACCATTTTTATAAATGAAGCAAATATTACAGGTCAACATAATTAACAAGTTTGTAATTAAATCTGCTGAAGAGTCTATATCTTCTGTTTGAAGAAAGTTAAAGCATCGGTTGGGATTTAATTTGTATTAGTGAAGTGCCTAATAATGAAAGATGGGGTATCAGATAAAATTGATACCCTATTCCTTTTCTGCAGAAGCAAGTCTATACACAGGTTGGTTCCCCCCAATAAACGAAGGAAGCCTTCTAAGCCATAGAAGGGAAAATCTGAATCCTGTTCAATGTTTAAATCATAATGAATCACAAAATGAAAAATATACAAATATATATGTTTTGGATTTTTCATTATTCTGACAACAGCATAAACAAGTTTCAACCTTTCAGTTATGCTAGAAATATTACCTTGATCATTCATACTGTCCATTATTGTCATCAGTTTTTTTAGCCGTGCCATTGATTCCTGTTCATTGCCTTTACTCATGAAATCTGTTCCAAAACCAGGTATCATACCCTGTAATAATTTCAAAAAAAGTGTTAAAAGTCACTTCAAAGTGACTATTAATGCGTTGTGGTTTTTAGATAACTAATCTTATTATAGTTACCAATATTTGACTGAAGGGCCCCATTTTCATGATGTTTTGGAACTGTTCATACATATCCCTCAATGTGAATTGACCTGAATGGTTAAAACATTAAATTGTAATTATTAAACTTGTACATTGTAAATCAGATGGTTCATCCCATCTTTCAAAACAAAATGGACAAGAGAATTAAACTGCCAAACACTGCTATATTATCAAAGTTTGGGGTATCGCTTACCATGTTTTAGTTTCTCAATGAGAGCCTCATTGTCATCTAATTTCAACTCATTGACTTTATCTATCAATCCTTCAATATCTCCCATGCCTGTAATATAAAATATACTTCTTTAACAACTGAAGCGAGCCAGTACAACTCAGAAAAAAAAAATTAAATTTAGCAATTAATTTTTTTCAGTGAGCAATACATACCAAGAAGTTTACTGATAAAAGGCTGCGTTTTAAAAGGTTCAAAATCATCTATATGTTCGCCAGTTCCAATAAAAATGATTGGACTTTTAGTTGCAGCAACTCTGTAGTGAAACACAGGTTTATACTTTTGTATCTTGGCCTCAAAAGGAAACATTTAAGAATGGAATAGCATATACCTCTTGTGCATTAAGTTTTTGAAATTTGAAGTATTTGCTCAACCCTGATAGTTTAAAAACTCAGTTTTTCCTCCCTCTATCAACAAAATACAGCAAGCGGTAAAGAGACAATAATTCTTCGTGCTTCAGTTTCCTGAAAAAAGCAAAGCTAAAAGAGCTGAAAACTCTATCATATGCAAGATCAACTCTGTCTTTTCAGAACTCTTTATTTTATGCAGCTGTTTATAAGCATCACAATGTTGCTCGGCCCATTATTAAGTAAAAAGTACTTACGCACTCAATGCTCCACCTCCCTTGGCATGGCCATCAAGTTTTGTCACAATTACAGAAGCAACATCAACTTTATCTTTGAAAGCCTTTGCTTGAGCTTCACAGGCTTGACCAATAGAGGCATCCATCACATATACTATATTATCTGGTTGCTGGAAGCAATGACACAAACAAAGGGAAACAGAAATTAGGAGCTCTTATCCTTGCTCCACTTCAAAGTTATAATAAACTGTAGGTCATGTTAAACATCTAACAGTGGTATACTCGTTTCATTCAGAGAAATGACAATGATTTGCTTCATGAAAATGCACATTTGTTCTAAATTTCAATTATTTCAATGTAATGATCAAATCTCAAGCAAATCTCATTTGGGAAGCACTTTCCATGTAGTAAATAAATCCAATATTCAACCCTTTGTGTCTTCAGGTGTGCGGAGAGGAACTCCTTGCCTCCATCCTGGAGAGCTACTGCCAGTTGTTGTAGGTGATTTGACCTAAATAAAACATTTATCTAATTCAAATTTTGGTTCTATTTTTAATTTTTAGAAACATGGAAATCCTACTTTGTGTTTGTATGTTCATAGTACATTTTACTCTACAGGGAGTTCTTGCTTAAAGACCTTGCCGTCAAACTTGTGGCCCAGTCCAGATGTGTCACTCTCTGGCTATGGCCATGCCCGGTTTAGTGAAGAGGGGAAAAGTCATGATACATCATGTGATGCCGCCATGAGTTTGACACCACTGTTATAGACAAATCGCTTAGTGACTGTTCAAAATTACAGTGGATCTCAAAAAGGTATTACAACCCAGATTCAAAGTTCTAATGTCTACTGTCCTCTCACAGTTACATGATCGCATTTTGGACACTCAGCAACAAGCCCACATTTGTGGCTGTTTGCATCATCCTGCAGTCAGGTGACTACAATTTACAACATTTTTGGGGGTCAGAAACTAGTGTTTACTTCTGGTAAACACCAATTTGTGAACAATGGGATTGCTTAGCCACCATGGCATTCACTTAATGACCACTGCAACAACATGCCATAAAACTGGGATGGTTACATGATGACCCACTTAATGATCACCTTCCCCCTTGCAATTTCAGGCTCAATTGCAGTGATAAGTCAAGTACTATATACATTAGCAGTCTTCATACATTTATAGTAGCATCAGTATAACGAGTTCTGTGTTAGACTTTGAAGAGTGGCTATTTTGAATGAGTTAGTTTCTTTACAACTGTTCCAAATTCAAATAGAAATGAAATGTTGTTAATCCTTTGCACCCATTTTGTAGTCCCACTGAATCCAGATGATGAGTTGGGTAGCATATATATTTAGTTATTAATTAGTTGGATATGCTTATAAACAAAATGCATTATATGCATATTTTACATCTGATATATACTGAAGATCTTAGTATATAATCTTAGAACAAGAAATGATTCTATAATTTCCTGATAAAAGAATTGAAAATACATTTCCAGTTCAATAGCCTGTTGGCCATATCAAAATGGACTTTCATTCGTGTATCAAGATTTCTTTGCTCCATTCCACACCATCCCAAATTTGCTCCAAAAAACCATTATTTTTCTAGAGCAGATTTGTGAGGCATGCTGGCAAATGTTCAGCAACAGATACTATATTTGCTTACCATTCAAGAAGCATTGTACAGTTTGTAAATTCTAGAATAACTTTCATATAGCATTATCTAAACAAGACTTACTATGGCATTAGCAACTTGTAACATTTCTTCAAACAAAGAGTCTTCCTGCTTGTGACGACCACTTGTATCAACTATTATTATTTCAAAGTTTTCATTCTTAAATTTGTCTACTCCTTCTGAAGCAATAATTACAGGATCCATCTCTGTGTAACTAGTTAAAAGAAAAATGCACACTAAAAGTAATATGAAGTTATAAAATTATTCAGAAGCAGGTGATGAGCTACATAATGGGGAAAACACATTTCATCACTACAGGTAAGGAAAGAAGTTGGGGAGATCCATCATGTCGTGGTCGGAGATCAGATAGCTTAGACTAGTGAGGATGAACCTTTTGGGCATCGAGTGCCCAAAGTACGCCAGCCCAAAATGCAAGGTGCCCCCCATGCATGCACACACTCCCGCGCATGAATCTGTACCCCCGTGCATGTGCCCCACCCCAACACATGCAGAGACCCAAAGATCAGCTAGTTAGTGGGAGGTGCATGCATGCATGGTGGAGCTGAGCTGGGGTGACGGCGCACATGCCCACAAAGAGAGCTCTACGTATCACCTCTGGCATGCATGCCAAAGGTTCACCACCACTGGCTTAAGTTCATTGTACCAGTCAAGAATTACCAAGGAACATATTCTGAATGCCTCACTAGTTACCTCTATCTCTACTCTTATTTCTGTTAATAAGCTGATAATCAAGACTTATTAAATGAAGAATTCCAATAAATTTCATTGATTATTTTACAATTTTTTATCACATAAATCAACATGTATTTATGGCTGGGTGGACATACCCAGCTCAATGTCACTCATATCGGGAGTGCTTATGGCGACCCGAGCACTCTGCCAGAGAAAATGGAACTCAGGAGGGCCGTGCACAGCCCTCCTGAGCTCTGTTTTTCTGGCAGAGGCACCACTGGCCGGTCCTTTACTGTTTCCAGGGTGGCCCCATGGGCCAGATCTAAGCATCCTGAGTTTGACACCCCTGCATTAGAATGTCCTGAAGTTCTGAGCGTGAAATGGGGTAATTTCAAGCTCAAAAATTTTTCAAACCATTTTGAGAATGCTCAAACAAACCTGCACAAGTTTAGAATGATTTATGTTTTGTGGAATTACATCTTTGAAACAGTTTGAAATCAAACATCCCTGCATTATGGTAGTAAGAAAGGATGTGACCATAAAACTGAGTTTTGCTCTTTTGAAACAATGTATCAAATGATTTTTTTGTATTTTTTTCATAGACAAGCAGATATTGGATATTTTTCAAATCATGAATGTTCACTGTTCATTTGCTTCTTTAACTAAATAATTTAACTCCAAAATGTCTGATATATGTATATGTCTGTACACAGACAAGCTCATACACAAATTTAAGAATGCTTCACATAAATATGGAATATGATCTCCATTCCTTATTCCATAAAAACTGCTGAGCTTGATAAAAAGAGGTATTTTGAACTGTGATATACACAAATTAATTTCAGTTTAAGACACTTTGATATAAAACTTTTTGAAGATCTCTGATAAATATTAACCAAGACAATATCACAATGAAGTTCTAGCTTTATCCAACTCTATCTATGTAGTGAACTTCTACAGAGACTATCTCAAAACTAGATAATGTTTATATTTATTAGGTATTATACATACCTCCCATAAAATGGAATTCTTGCTTTTGTGGCATTCTGTTTTAACTGATCAAAAGCACCTAGAGAATACAAATATTTTTAGCCATCTAGGACATACGCATCTATCAAAAATGAAGTAACTAAAAGTAATTAAACAATGTACCTGCTCTGTAAGTGTCTGCACATATCAAACATGTCTTCCAGCCTTTCTTTTGGTAATAATATGCCAACTGTTAATTTAAACAAAAACAATACATAATCTGATAAGCTATTATTAAAAACACTTTGTTTTCATTCATATGAAGTTGCATATACAAAGAATGAAGTATTTATCCTCTGTCAGCTTCTTTAAGGTACAGCCAATTACAGAACTATAGATCTATTCTGTTTACTACCAACTATTTATTGTTCACATGCTCTACCATGGTCCTTTTATCTTGTCAACTTTGCCAACAAGCAAAGTTTTGTATTTTATTAAAAACATCTAATAAATTATAGATATCTGGATTACAAAAGTCTTTCAGTAAAATCTGACATATTTATTACACATGGCCAATGAACCATGTAGAAGCTCGTCTGCATCATCAGCTATATATCATACTGAATTGGAAATCATATGGTTCATAATATTTTCAAATTTAAAAAGAATAGCTTTGTAAGGAGATAACAAAAATGTAATATGGACCATAGTGGAATACATGATACCTTTGAGCACGAGGTTGTTTTGCCACTTCCTTGCAAGCCTACAAACATGATGATATTTTGTTTTCCTTTTGTGGGTGTCCAAGCTTTGACTCCAGGATCTACAAGCTGTAAGATAAAATGCATCATAATTTCCAGAATCACAAAATATTTACAAAATCTTCGGGTTTTGTTTTGCATATTTTATATTGCGTATTTTCCAGTATCACTTTTCCTGCTCAGTTCCGAAAGTCAGAAATCAAGGTTATATTTATCCTACTTTCTGCTTCAATAACATACAACCAGAGAGCAATGGAATAATGAACACCTCTGCCCCATAGGACACTTCCAGTCCTTCACGCTCCTCAATATTATATTGATGCTAATGGCAATTGCAGTGCCTTTAAGATTCAAAATACATTCCTTCTTTCTTCTCCTTGTCTTTAATAATTTCCGTAAAAGAGATACAAAGATGCCAATATTGTGTAACATTGACCAGAACAACCCAATTTGAGGAAATAACAGTTCAATAGCAAGCCTTATTAATATTATGCATACTCCATAATTGCAACAGATTAACTTTAAAATGGCCATGCATTTTCACATCGATTATGAGATTGATAAGAGGGCTTGGCTGGATATTCAATTAAGAGAATAAGAATGCCTAGAATGTTTGCCTGTATTACAGCTATAGCTTAGAAACCAATACCTTAATTTTACCTTAACAAGTTCTTTAAAGACGGCATGTTGGATCATTTTTCTTTTGTTGAGTCCAGAAGCCATTTCTTCAAGGTCAATAGCAGATCTATGTATGGAAAAAGGAGAAAATTATTAAAAGATGACTTCAATGCCCCCCTGAACTAATGTAAGTTATGTTCCACTATTATATTGAGGATCTGGGGTAGGTACTCAATATAGAGTAAACTATGCCCTTCCTTAAAAATCCCTGAATATTTATTTTATTATTTCATATGATGGTAATTTTTGTCAAATAAGACAAAAATGTTCCCTCAAATCAAAATCAGTTTCTGATCACTACAAAATCCATGTAATTTTATGGCAACAATACAGAATTGGTTGGCTACTGCTTCTTCCAGCAGGGATTTCAACTTCCTACTGTAGCCTACAATCCTGGAGTTTTCTGACAACCTCTCATCCCAGTTTCTCTAGTTCTTGGTATAATTCGACCAATGTTTTCTAAACTTAACAACTTTAAGATGTGTGGACTTCAACTTCCAAAATTCTTTAGCCAGCATCCTTTTCATTTTTTCAGTGTAAGCATTATTGCTTAAGTGAATCTCACTGTACTTTGTATTCCAGCTTCCTGTTTATTTTTCCTCCAGAAGATTGGCCCAATGTACAAAGAATCTCATCTCGTCTTCTTTCTCAAGGAAGCATGTGGCGGTCTGGCACTTGAAAATGAGACACAGGGAAAGTGTCTGAGCAAATGCCAGCCCTGAGGGAACTCAGGCAGCAGGTTTTATTCAGGAGAAATCGAAAGTACAGAATGCATACAGAAAACAATGACCTCAACAGGATATTACCTCAACAGGATGAAAACATACAGCCACGGAAAGTCCCGTGAGAACATACAGTTACAGAAAGTCCCATGGGAAAGTCCCAGCTGTGTACCTTGAACTTTTACCTATTTTCCTGTTCCTTCTAAGCCCGCAGATCACAACAGGATGAGGCACCCACTGCAAAGGTACTCCTACCCCCACCAAGAATGCCTGCATATCCCTAGATCTATGCGAAATGGCTGTACAAAGGACTTTCAGAAAATGACCAATAAAATATATTACCACAGAAGCATTCTGATTTTTAGTGTTAGTTTTAGATACTAATGTTAACCTTCTTGAAATTTCATACATACTGTTTTGCAACATGTAGAAAACATTAGAAAAAATATACAGGTAGACCTCACAATAGTACATTTAATGACTGTTTAAAGTTACAACGCACAGAACAAAGTGATTTATGACCATTTTTCACCATTTTATGACCATTTTTTAGACCACTGCAGTATCTTCATGGTCATGTGATAAAATTCAGACACTTAGAAACTGACTCATATTTATGATGGTTGCAGTGTCCTGGTGCCACGTGATCACTTTTTGCAACCTTCTGACAAGCAAAGTCAATGGGAAAGCCAGATTCACTTAATAATCAACTTGGCAACTACAGTGATTCACTTAACAACTCTAGCAACAAAGGTCATAAAATGGGGCAAATTAATTTAACAAATGTCTTGCTTAGCAATAGAAATTTTGGACTCAATTGTGGTTGTAAGTCAAAAACTACCTGTACAGTAAATAAAAAAAACAATTGTTCAGCTGAACATAATTATTTTATATAAAATTGTATCTACATAAAATTATATAAAATTAAATAACAGTTATTTAAATAACATAGTTATTCAATTTATATAAAATTGAACTTATTAGTCACAGCAATTGAAAACTTTACATGTCCCCCCTTTCAGAGTGGTAACACTAGCAAAATAACCCTAACAATATAAATAAACTTAAAACTTCGACATAAAGATAAAACAACATTATTCTTACTTGGCTTGGTTCACTTACTTGACATTTTCTCTTAGTTGTTTCACCAGCTTAATGTTGACATCAGCTTCCAATAATGCCGTACAAACTTCTTTTAGCATAGCATTTAAAACCTGAATGGGCAGAAGGACAATACAAAAAATGTTTCTATGCAATTTATAATTTAATGTTCACAATTTATCTTTCCAACGAACATTTTAGATTAATATTTACTGGTTGAAAAATAATATAGAAAACGATGAAATTTCATATGGTTGAGCATGGTAGACAAAGAGAATTGAGAAATAGATAAAAATGTAAAAAGAAATTAATGAATAAGAAATAATATATCTCTACTATAACCACTACTTAGCAAATGGCACCAATTCACTGAATTTTGTCCATTGAATTTCACGTGGTGATATATGGAATCCTTACTTTATTACTTTAATATAGGGGTCTTTTCTATCAAACCCAAACTATTTTTTTCAATGTATCTGCCTTTATTGTATCTCATATGGAAAATTTACCTACCTCTTCATTGATAATGGTAGCATTGCTCAGGGAGCGTAATGCTGAGGTAATTTTTCTCCCAAGATCTGCTAAAACCATCTTGACAATAGATTATGCTCAAATACGACCTGTGAAAAGACATAATATTGCTGAAATTATTCTTCACAAGCTACAGTTTATCCTTCATATAATAATCATATAATATAATCATCAGTAATTAGTAGAGAGACAATTGTTCACTAAGTCTGTTCTGAAATTTCAAGGATCACTTTTCCAGTCCCCAAAGATTTTATGGTGTGTTAGGAGACTGGAACAGTGATTTTTGAGACTTTAGTCCTCAAACATTCCATAAAATCATAACAGAATCTCGCCTCAGTGCTTCAGATAACAGATAACAGAAAATCAGAGTTGGAAGTGACCTTGTAGGTCATCTAGTCCAACTCCCCTCGCCTAGGTGGGAGATCCTACACTATTTCTGACAAATGGCAGTCCGATCTCTTCTTGAAGGTCTCAAATAGGCTTCTATTCCAGAGAAAGGCATAATGAACCTTGTACACTCAATTTTACAACCTTGGAGATCCACCCATGTTCTACGTATGGCACTCTGATTCTGTTTCATTGGGAACATTGGAAAAAGTACAGATCATCATCATCTTCATCATCACTGCCATCGTCCCATCTTTCATTCAACCAGCTGGATTCATCTCTTGTTAAAAGCTTTTCAATAAAAAAGAGCACCACTCTTTTGAGAACTAAAATAAATGTAAGTTAATATAAACTAAGATTGCAATTGTATTTTAATGAATTTATTATCTGTATTAGAAATATGCATTTAGATTTAATATTGGTCCTATTCAATCAGTGGGGAGGAGGAGATACTATATATGTTATATATATATATAACATATATATGTTATATAGCCGCACTGCAGCTGCATTACTACCCGCTTCAAACCCCTCTGAGCCATACACGAAGCGAACTGACACCCTCCATGAAGATGCAGCACAACCACGAACGCGAAGCCAAACAGCAGGATCACAGCTCACCAGCTCAAATCCCCCAGCAACTAAGACTAACCTGAGCACAACCAACCCCCCACCTGAACAGAACACACCTCCAGCCAATCAAAACACGGCTAACCCGCCCAACCAATCAGAACACAGCCAAAACCCCAACCAATGAGAACACACCCCCACCCAATCAGAACACAGCCAAGCCCCCACCCAATCAAGTCACACCCCCACTAGCAGTTAAAAGGAAGAAGCAGCTGCAAGCTCACATTACTCGGAGAAGCACAGAGCCGAAGACACAAGCCTGAAGATGATGAATGAGACTGCATCGAAACGTTGCCTAGATACTTCCAATCTTACACGGGAGAAAACCCAAATAACCAAAGATCCATCCATATATATATATATATCTTTAGTTATTCGGGTTTTCTCCCGCATAAAATTGGGAGTACCTTGGTGATGTTTTGAAGAAGTCTCATTCATCATCTTCAGGCTTGTGTCTTCGGCTCTGTGCTTCTCCGAGTAATGTGAGCTTGCAGCTGCTTCTTCCTTTTAACTGCTAGTGGGGGTGTGACTTGATTGGTTGGGGGTTTGGCTGTGTTCTGATTGGTTGGGGGGTTGGCTGCAAGCTCACATTACTCTGACAAGCACAAAGCCGAAGACACAAGCCTGAAGATGACTAATGAGACTTCGTCGAAACGTTGCCAAGATACTTCCAATTTTACGTGGGAGAAAACCCGAATAAACAAATCCACATACAAATACTCGTGAAAACCTCAGAAAACACACACACACACATATATATATATACACACACACAGAGAGACAGAGAGAGAGACAGAGAGAGAGTGCAAGCTATAAAACAACAGATTACAAGGCCTACACAGTTGTACTATCCATTATATCTTGGCTCTAGAGATAAAGAAACCACTGCAATAATTTTCTATGGAATATATAGAAAATATCATTATTCAAGCATGAAACCTTAAAAAGAAGCAGACACATCAGCCATAGCCCTTCTTCCAAGGTTGCCACATAGTTATCTATATTTCCAAGAGCAAGACTGGAAATTAAAATAGTGCTCAGTAGAGGCTATCTCATAAAACACAATATTGAAAATATAGAAACCTGATTGTTTTCCACCATTGCTTGGTTCTGTCTTCTGATTTGTAGAAATATAGCAAACCTGATCCTGATCCTGTAAAATGCTCTGAAAATATACCATAGGAATTTATTACAGGAAATCAAAACTGCTTGCATTCTGACAGCCACAGAAAAGCACCATATAGTGCTCATAATTGAGATTCTGTTTCCTTTTACAAACCATAAAGTCGCCTTGAGCAAGATGGGTGGCAAACAAATTTAATACAATGCTCTATTCTTGTTAATATAACATGTCATGAGTACCATGAATTATGACTTCTCAGAACAAAAGTAATCCAATAGTAACTATATAATAGCAATTTTCATCTCCAATATAAGAAATTGATGCTACAACTTGCACTGTTGGCAATTTAAGAGGTAGACTACATTGGTTAAATTGGCAGCTTTTCCTTCTAGTTTCAAAATTAACTTATCTATTTTATATATTTATTCAACATATGGCTGCCCAGACAATCCAGTAAATAAACCGGCCTTCAGCTGTTAAGAGCTTTAATCAGCACTTTAAATTGCACTCAGAAGCTTACTGGGAATCAGTGCCGTTTGTATTGCTTTAATATGATTCCCACCACCCACTGTAGTTCTAGAAGTGCAGTTATTGGAGAATCTCTTTCCATCCTCAGTAAGAAAAGAATGGAGAACATGTCAAATTGTTTACTTCATTTGGTTAAAATAATTTGACAGCAATATATGTCAGTTTAAAGGGAAGTAAAGTTCCCATTTCATCAGAGTTTGTAATTCCAAATATGTAATCCAGCATTTGTTGATCATATTTTGGGGGGAAGAAAGTAACTACCTCCATGGGTTATTTGTTATAATAATATTTATGACTTTATAGCCTGTTAACTGATACCCTTTTAATACCTGCAAACTTTCATTAAACAAATATAAGGTTGCTCATCTAGCTGAATAATTAATCATTAGAATTCCTTAATTAACTGGAAAAGACTAGAAGGAACTATAGAGAAAAAAATGAAATCAGAATAACTAAATTTCAGCTATAATTCTGTAACACTTTTAATTAATAGGCTTCAATGCAAGCAAGCATTCTTACAATTGCACTGCTAATTATATCAAGCAATATGTGGAAGGGAACCTGTTCTATTTGCAATCTGTTTAGTTAGTTTAGTTTGTCATTGCACCTCATACAATGAAATCAAACACCATCTTCAGTGCACATCATGACCATGACCATGAAAATAAACACAAACACACATCCTTCACCCTCCACACATTGAACCGAAAACCCCCAACACGGCACCAATACTGGTGAATACAGCAGAATTCAAAAGAGCTACTGCCCTGGGAAAGAAGCTGTTTTTCTGCCTATTTGTCCTTGTTTTTATTATTCTGTACCACCTGCCAGACACTATTTACTGTTACTATTTTGTGAGCTGCTTTAGGAGATGAGATATAGTTTAAATTCCCATTTTACTCATTTACAGGATAATTTAAACTAGCCACACATATAACAATAAACAATTTCAGATCATCTGCATTGTTGCTCTAATAATCTCTTGACCAAACTGCCTGAATTCAACAATTAGGATGGAACAATTTGACCGTGTGACAGCAATTTGTTTAAAAAAACTAGAATCTGTACAAGAAAAAAAATATATAACTTATAAAACACAAATATTGGATGCATCTGAACAGAAATCATAATGAGCAAGTAAAACTCAAATTGCCTATAATTGCACAAACATTGAAATTTAATCTCGGTTTAGCATACCCTGTGCAGTGCAATCCCAAGACGTGTACTTATAGTATATCCCCACTATATTATACACGACCAAAAAAAGTAATTGGATAAATCATGCATAAGACGGTATGTGAACATAGCCAGTATACTGAATAAACCGCCCAGACCAGTTTCTGATCATCAGTTTAGACACAAGTATAAATGGGGAGAATATTCATTTTTTTTAAAAAGGACTACTATATACCCGCCTGTCGTAAGAAAAGCATCCAGATTACTTGATGGGCACCGAGGATTCAATTACCCCCTAAAGAGGCTTCTTGCTCCGGTTCAGCTAGTGCAACTTGTGGCATCAGTGCAAAAGCAGGACCTGCATTTTTAACTTCACGGGATAGCAGCACCTGTGCTTCCCCTCCGCCCAAAGCTTTGAAATGTGTACCTATGCAAAGGGGTAACCTGAAACAGTCTGGAGGGGTCTCACATTTGCGGACTCGGGTTACCGAAAAGCGACCAGCCTTCCAACAGAAACCTTACCGAGAAACGAAGCGGCGGCCTAATCTGGCCCCGCTCTGAAAGCCACACAACAGTCCGGGTCTCTTAGGGGGGTCTCTCAGAAAGCCGCTAAACCAGACCCGACACCAGGAATTGGCATCCAGACAACTAGGAAGAGTGTCACGTCACCACTAAACAAATCAGCTAGTTATCATCCTTCCCCCTAAGACAAACTCTACTTCCGGGTCATCTGTGAGAAACGTCCCCTTTGAAGTAAAATATATACAGATGTACAAAAAGGAAGAGGTGCGCGTTGGCTTCAGCTTCCGAGTACACGTCTCTTAGTTGAAAACGGTTGTAACTGTATATCCGTATAAGTCAGGGACCCCCAAACTTGGCAACTTTTAAGACTTGTGAACTTCAACTCCCAGAATTCCCAACTGGGAGTTGAAGTCCACAAATCTTAAAGTTGCCAAACTTGGAGACCTCTGAAATATTTGAAACAGTCTATATTTTGTTGAAGCGTTTTGCAAAAACGGTTTATATCTATCTGATCAAGTAATGCCTCCCAGTAACTTTAAGATAGGTGGACTTCCAACTCCCAGAATTCCCCAGCCAGGTTGGGGAATTGTGGGAAGTGAAGTTCACCTATCTTAAAACAGCTGCAGTTGAGAAACATTGTCCAAAATATATAAGGAGGAAAAGGAGTAAGGACTGTTGAAGTCAAGGAGCCAATTTCTGTCTAAATTACATAAACTTCCGCAAAACTATGTTTCTGACCCAGATTCATAGGGATGATTTTTTTTAAAAAAAAATCTTTTAGTATAATTTAAAGATTAACATTCAACTTGCTAAATTTGGCTCTCTTTTTTTTTTGTCAGAGGCAATAAACACCGCGAGGTAGAACCAATGATAAATAAATCAACATCGTTCGGAATCATTACGCCAAGAGCTGCATTCAAAACCAGCAAAATTATTCATCGCCACACAAAACGAGGCTCAGACGCGGCTCTTTAAAACAAAGAGGAAGAATACCCGGAAGTTCCGAGAAGACTCATCCTACTCATAATCCCTGGAGCAAGGGAAAAATAATGGCAACGACTCCTGCGCATGCGTTCAAGGCCGAGCGGTACGCGTCTGGCTTATCTAAGCGTAGAGAGAAAGTTGATCGAGTTGCGCTTGCGCGGTACCTTCGACCAGGTAAGGATGGACTTTCCTTCGGCTCGCAAAGCTGTGCTGGACATAATAAAGGGTGCGCGCGCGGGGGAGTTGCCTCGCCTGCTGCACTGGCTGAGAACAACTAGTAAGCGGAGTTTCTTCTTATGCGTCTTATCCTCCCCAACACTTGAAATAGTATAACGTGGGGTTGCCAGACAGTAACATGTACTTTGTGGGGTTTTTTTGTTTTTTGATGTGCCTTTCCATCTTTTCCCCCATTTTTCCCGCTCTCTTCTATACGCAGAACGTTTATTTGCTTTATACTTCGCTTATCTGCCCCTTTTTATCATTGCTTTTGTTGACTCTGTTACAGGTCTGTTGACTTGGAGAAACCTTATTCAATCAGGGTTTAGTTTAATCGCACCAAACATGCTGAATCAAATTAATTGGGCATTTGGTTCAATGTATTGTATTCCTCAGTGACTCTGGGAAACCCATAAGTAAGATACGGCATCCTATATTTTTCTCCAGTAAGAATACATGGAAGCTGTGTTGCTTTTGAAATTCGTTTTGACATAGGCATTATGATGGATTGCCCTTAAGAGTAAGAGTACACACATGTCCCACTGGGTTGGTTCACTTTGCATCTGGTTGCTTGGTATAAAATTTGTTCTCTCTGGAAAAGCCATCTAACCTTTGCTATATCTCCTGGCAAAAAAAAATTAGAGTATATATGTATTAAGATAATTGTTTATGTTACAATCTTTGGGCATAACTGAACATTCACTAGGTATCAGTTGGCATTGTTGGTAGTGAATTTTGAATTTCTTTTTTTTTTTTTTTGCAATATTTTGTAATGGATTTTGGAGGTGCCTTTCAAGGATCAGTCTTGGACACTGTTTTTGTTGTTCCTTGGATTCCTGATCAACGTTTCTGACATCACTGATATACTGACTATCAATCTTGATGGCAAAGCATGATCAGCTCAGTGGTGGGATTCAATTTTTTTTACTACCGCTTCTATGGCCATGGCTTCTTGGGCATGGCAGGGGAAAGACACTGTAAAATCTCTAGACAGAGGTGGTATTTGCCGGTTCTCTGAACTACTACAAATTTCCGCTACCAGTTCTCCAGAACTGGTCAGAACCTGCGAATACCACCTCTAGATCAGCTGTAATGAAACATTTTATCAGCATTTCCCTTTAATTGCCTAATGCTGAATATGAATAAAACTGAGACTATCCTGTTTTGGCCAGATTGTCATTCCAGTCCATTACTGAGTCTTTCCCCCTGTTTGTCTTAAAGGCTACCGTATTCCCTCCCCCCAGGTTTCTTCTTCTAGGCCTTGCATTCTTGATTGATAACTAACTGGCTTCATGCCTGTTTACTGATTGTACAACTAGTGCCATTAATTTTCTTTTGATGAATGTTTGTAGAATCTGTACTTCTAGGAATCTGCTCATTCAGCAACCAAGTTAAATAAAGTTATTGCCTTGAGTTTCACATGATCACTGCAAACTGTGTTTTCCCTATTTTTGCAGACGACTTTGATGAATTTACATGCAATAATGATGATATCATTCTCAGAAGTATTGCTGAAGATATTCGACATCGTTTGCCTATTGGAGCAGTGCTCAATTCAGAGCATAATGCTCTTCAAAAAGTAGGTTTTGCTATTTAGCCTTCCCATAAATGTTAACAAGGGGTTTTTAATTAGAATTTTCTATAAAGCCATCAATACTCATGGCTTTGTTGGCTTTTTTGTTGATGTAGTCCAGGAGTCTCCAAACTTGGCAATTTTAAGACTTGTGGATTTTAACGCTCTGCTGGCTGGAGAATTCTGGGAATTGAAGTCCACAAGTCTTAAAGTTGCCAAGTTTGGAGACCTTTGACGTAGTCCAACAGAAGGAAGAACATAATTCAAGGTTTAAAGTAAACATTTGGGCAGTAATATCTCTAGGAATTATTCATTATAACTATACCAAGATTATTTTTAAATTAAAATGCAAAACATTTTCTTGATTGGCCTTATCTTTAAAGTTCAGTATTCTTCATTGGTAAAATGAAAGTATCAATATATTGCTTGTAATTAGATACTATATTGCTTCAATTGTATAGATAAGGTGTTAGAATGTTATAGTATATTGATATACATATCTGTATACTGTATGTCTCGATAGATTTGGACATATTCCAAATGCATAATCGAATGCTCAGCTGATTGCCTTTATACCAGGGATAGTCTTACCATTAGATAGTGTAAAGCAGTCTTCTCAAGTGGATTGTTATTGGGATGCAGCAAGATTAGAATATCTTGGAGGAAAAAGCTATGTCCCATATCCTGCCCTTAAGTTAGCCTGCTGCCTCAAGGTACATGAATAGAATAGAATACTTTATTGGCCAAGTGTGATTGGACACACAAGGAATTTGTCATGGTGTAAATACTCTCAGTATACATAAAGAAAAGATACATTCATTAAGAATCAAGAATCATAACATACAATACTTAATGAGAGTCATAGGGTACAATCAACAATCAAATCATACTAGGAAACAGTCAATATAAATCGTAAGGATACAAGCAACAAAGTTACAGTCCTACAATCACAAGTGGGAGGGGATGGGTGATAAGGAGCGATGAGAAGATTAATAGTAATAGTAGTGTACACTTTGTAAATAGTTGAACGGTGTTGAGGGAATTATTTGTTTAGCAGAGTGATGGCTTTCAGGAAAAAACTGTTCTTGTGTCTAGTTGTTCTGGTGTGCAGTGCTATATAGTGTTGTTTTGAGGGAAGGAGTTGAAACAGTTTATGTCTGGGATGTGAGGGGTCTGTAAATATTTTCACAGCCCTCTTTGACTCGTGCAGTGTACAGGTCCTCAATTAAAGGCAGGTGGGTAGTAATTGTTTTTTTCTGCACCTAATTATCCTCTGAAGTCTGTTGTCTGTCATGTTGGGTTGCAGAACCAAACCAGACAGTTATAGAGGTGCAGATGATAGACTCAATAATTCCTCTGTAGAACTGTATCAGCAGCTCCTTGGGCAGTTTCAGCTTTCTGAGTTGGCACAGAAAGAACATTCTTTGTTGTGCTTTTTTGATGACATTTTTGATGTTAGGTGTCCATTTTAGGGCATGTGATATAGTAGAACCTAGAAATTTGAAGTTCTCTACTGTTGTACTGTGTTGTCAAGTATTGTAAGAGGTGATAGTATGGGAGGGGTTCTTCTAAATCTACCACCATTTCTATGGTTTTGAGTGTGTTCAGTTCCAGATTGTTCTGGTTACACCACGAGGCAAGTTGAATAACGCCCTGTCTGTATGCAGATTCATCATTGTCTCGAATGAGACCAATCACTGTTGTGTCATCAGCAAACTTCAGTATTTTAACAGATGGATCGTTTGAGATGCAGTCATTGGTATATAGGGAGAAGAGAAGTGGAGATAGCAACAGCCTTGGGGGCCCCCTGTGCTGATTGTACAGGTATCGGATGTGATTCTGCCTAGCTTCACCTGCTGCTTCCTGTCTGTTTGGAAGCTTATGATCCACTTACAAGTGTGTTCAGGTACCGCTAGTTGGTTTAATTTATTTAGAAGAGTGTCTGGAATGATGGTATTTTGAATGCTGAACTGAAGTCTACAAAGAGGACCCTTGCGTAGGTATTTGGAGACTCAAGGTGTTGTAGGATGTAATGCAGAGCCATGTTAACAGCATCATCTGTCGATCTATTTGCTCAGTATGCAAACTGCATGCGATCTAACAGCAGATCCATTATGGTTTTCAGATGGGACAGCACAAGCCTTTCAAAGATTTTCGTAACTACAGATGTTCAAGCAACTGGTTTGTAGTTATTCAATTCCTTGATGGAGGGCTTCTTTGGCACTGGGATGATGGTAGAACGTTTGAAGCGGGAAGGAACATAGCACATCTCTAGTGATCTATTGAAGATTTGGGTGAAGATGGGGGCCAATTGGTCAGCACAGACTTTTAAGCAAGGAGGAGTTATCTTATCTGGCCCTGGTGCTTTTCCTGGCTTCTGTTTATGTAATAGATCTTGCACTTCTTTTACTGTGATCACCAGAGGTTG